GCTAAACCAAGTATTAAATACTTGTCTGGAGTAACAAAATATTATTTCCAAAGATGTAATTTGCATAATTACCATAACAATAGATGCTTGCAATGTACATACAACTTTATTACCAATTATTGAAAGTCAACATCAGGAATTACATCAGTAGTATTTGAAAGTACTTTGCAGCCGTAAAATCTGCAAACATCACAAATGGGAGGTATGTGACCATCATCAAGTTAATTTGTAAGGTATACCACAGGAACACCTGATGAAGCAAAAATGCTGTTCAGCAAAGCACTGACATCTTCATTGCTCTGCTGGATGGCATATTTGCTTCATCAGGTGCTTCTGTAGTATGTTATTTTCCAAACATCTTGTGTGTGCATGTGTGCACATACAGTGCATACCAAAAATGTAGATATTTAAAAAAAATAAAAACATAGATTAGCAATGCAAGTGGTTATTATTATTTATTTATAGCATAATACAATGTTATATAATTGTTTTTACAGTATTTGATAGTTACATAAAGTGTTAAACACAAAATAGTTGTTTTGTGATGTCAAAATATAGATAAATTTTAAACTTTAAAGAATAATTTATAATATAAATTGCTGAAAACTGGTGCTGGCAATCATCATTATAATGTTCCTTTTTAGTTCATCTATTGTGTATGGATTATTTTTATGCATGGTTCCTTTCAGATACCACAGAGGTAAAAATATGAGGATTCTGGATCTATTTGAAACCAGCACTTAATGATTTGTTGTTTAAGCTCTGAAACTATTGTAAAATGCCAGTTATTTGCTTAAATTTTTCAAGCAAGAATGTCCCCACGAGTTCTCAATCAGATTTATGTCCAGGCTTTTTGCTGGCCACTTAGTTGAACAATGAATACTGGCATTGTCATGTTGGAAAATCCAATCAGGTTCTCAGTTTCTTCTCCAATAGGTATTAAATTATTTTTTAGGATTTCATGATAACTTTTAGGTGTCTGTCTATCAATTAAAATCACTAAATTTGATAAACCATTAAATCCAAAGCAGCCCACACCATAACAGAATGACCACCCTAATACCTGCTGAAAAACTGCACTTTTCTTTCCTAACTTAATGCTAGTAATTAGGCTATCCAAATTAAATTTCTTTTCATTAAAAAGAACTGAGAGCCAGCTGATCCCACAGCATCTGATCCCACTGCATTGAGAAACTTTGTTCCTCTTACATTCAAATAGAAAATCCAATTTAGCCGTAGTCCTGGTTAGGACTAGTGCCAGTTTCTTGTATGTTCTAGCTGGCATAGCTTTATGTAATGAAAACTACTAGACCAATACTGGTACATGTAAACACCACTGTTAAACCTTTACTTCCCAAGAAATAATACCCAACATTTTTTCAATGTCAATATATAGGGTACTTCTCCCAAAAGGTTGTGAATTCTTAATATCAAAGCTAAGAACGTTATGTCTGAGAAAAGCTATTAGAACATCTAGAAGAGATGTGTATTTCAGACTGGGCAAATTGATCAAGGTGAAAGATGATCTTTATGAAAAAACAACTGCTTCCCTTCATTGATAAGCACTATTCTAGGATAATTTAATCTTTTAGCCAGATTTAAGTACAGTAGTGGCCAAAGTAGAGCTACCCTTGACATCATATTTTTTTAAAAAATATGATGTCAAGATGATGTCAATATGTTTTTTTTAAAAAAAAAAAACCCTTGACATCATATTTTTTAAAAAATATGATGTCAAGGGTTTTTTTTTATATTTTTTTAAAAAATATGTCAAGGGTAGTTCTACTTTGGCATTACTGTACTTAAATCTACTGTACTTAGACAGCAAAGGCATTGAATACATATCCAAAGACAGCTCTCCAAATGTTTCAATAGCACATGACATCGAGAGATTTTGGGCAAAATACAAAGAGGAGTATCGCAAATGAAAAGTCCCTGCCAAAAATGTTTGGTCCTTCTGCCAGATTTGAAGATTTATCAGATGATAGGTAGCATTCCCCTCTGGAAAATCACTCTCAATTGACCATGCTTACAAAAATATTCATTTAATTGCATATTATGGCATCAGTTCCAGCAAATAACTATTACTGCTATTTTAGAATAGTTGTTATTAGATGAAGAACAGCTTAGAATTGTTCTGTTACACAAGCATTAAAGTATGAGTTGCAGAACTTAGTCCATTTACTTTGTCCATTTCTTACCAGCTGCTTATACTCTTATTACAACTGAAAATTTTATTTCAATATACAGTATTACAGAAAATAATTAGAAAATTTATTTTAAAATGGTTGTGTTCATCATCATCATCACTGTCCATGGAACCACTGCTAGTTGAGTCTGATGCCATTTTCATCATCCTTTTCAACTACTCTGTCAAGGGCATAGTAAACCAGTTTTTGAATACTTGTACCCATTCCTTCACATAAGCTATCCATTTCCTGTGCGCCCTGCCTTCTATTTGTCTCCTTCATGATTCCAAGAGTTTTTATTGTTCTCTTGTCACTCATTCTACAGAAGTTGAGTTTCCTTTAAATGACCCATTGAAATAGTGTTTCTCTGGTTGGACTCTTTTATAGACTTCATCATTAGTGACTATCATGCCAAAGTAATTTGAGTAGCTTCCTATAGCATTTTTTTTAAAAGACCTTGAGCCATCTGGCTTTCTTGTAAATAACCCATGTCTCACATCCATAGAGCATGCCACTAAAAATATATGTAGCAAGAATTTTTAATTTTGTTTTTATTGTGATGTTTTGACTTTTCCAAATTTTGTCCAAGACTTTGAGATTTGTAGAGCATTTGGCTATCCTTGTTTTTATCTCTTCAAGGTAGTCTAGATTTTCAGTCACTTTTCTCCCTGAGTATATGTAAATTCTGTAGCATTGTCAATTCTTGTTCCATTAGTGTTAATTCCTTTATCTTTATTTCACTTTCCAAATGTCATCATCATTGTCTTTCCTAGATTTATATGTAGTAGTCCCTATCTCATGCATTTTACATTTAAGATGTTAACTACATTTTCCAAATCCATTGCATTTTCTTCAGAATTACAATATTGTCTACAAATCTAAGGTTGTTGATTCTTGGTCATGTTTTATAAGAAGAAAACTATTTTTAAAAATTTGTTGCTAATTAAATGCTCTCAAATTTAAAATCTTGATTGCATGTAAACTTTGAACTTTATACTCCTTAAAAATTCTTGGTATTTCACAATGGTATTGGAAAGCTTTATTATAAAGCATGCAAAAATAAGAATTATACAAAGTGGTTGAAAAGTCACACACTTGTGTTAGGAATCATTTTTATTTTGTGAGATTAATGTACGATAATACAGAACATAGTAAAAACAAAGTTCTGATATTTAAGAAAAACAAAATCAAATTGTTATTACAACATACAGTGTGTTCAAAATGGCCTCCTTGTTAATGACTGCAGGCACAAGCTCTTTTATTATGTTTGATGCCACCTTATGAAGCACCTGAAAACTGGTGCTGGCAATCATCATTATAATGTTCCTTTTTAGTTCATCTATTGTGTATGGATTATTTTTATGCATGGTTCCTTTCAGATACCCCAGAGGTAAAAATATGAGGGTGACAAATCTGGTGATTGTGAGAGCCAAGAATTGTTACAAATAAGATGGTCATCAAAGAATTATCATAAGAACTGTTGTATCTGGATATTTTTGATGAAATGCATCTGGAACACATGCATAAGAGCAACCAGCAGAATAATGCTCTACAATGAAAATTGTTTTTCTGGGAAAAATTCTCAGTGAACTAATGCTATACTGCAGCCAATTTATGACTTTCGTGTAAAAGTCAGATTTTCTATTAATAGTAAACAGTCATTATATCATCATCTTATGGTGGGAGGGAAAATAAAAGTAACTTGACACAATAACTATAACCCTTCTACACAAACTGATATTTTGATGTGTGCAATTTTTCTTTTTAAAAAAATATAAAACCATTGCAAATATCTCCACTTTCTTTTAATCCTTTACATCAGTAATATTTTTTAAAAAATTTAAAAGCATCAACCAAGCTTTCAAATAGTTTCAAATATTTACTTTATGATTTTATTGTGAAATTGGCTAATTTACAAGAGGATGCTGTATCTATTTACATGATGTTGCAGAGGAGTAGCCTCAAAGGAAAGGTCATCTGAGTATATACAAATTCAGTTTTGGACTGTCACTGGTGTAAACAGCAAAAAGTAAGCAAAGATATTTGTGATAATTTTATATTTAAAAAAAAAATTAAATACTGTTAGTCAAGGTTTTAAATATTCATTTTATGTATTAATTTGATTTAAAAGATATTTTATAAAAATTACCTGGATTATTTAACAACAATTTGATTATATGCTTTAATACAAATACATTAAACAATTTGAATTTTGTAAATAACTGTAAGTAGTATTAACAGTTTAATCATTATCATTCTGAAAGAATTGTATAAAATTTGATTCTTTTAGTGTGAATGACAATTGAAATGTATGGCCTGTATTAATCAAGCAAGAAATTCAATTCATTGAATCTAATAATGTTTAGTAATTGGTTTTAATGAAAAGCTCATATTAAAAATTGCAATTTTTATGCTTTTATGAGAGAATAAAAATTATTGTTTTTATTTTATATTTTTAATTATATTTTTGGATAAAAATGAATGCATACTAAATATTATATTAATTCTTCTGATTTTATAATAAAATGTGAATTGAGTACACATGAATTGCTTAATTATTACATCATCATTTCTGTTTTCAATTTACTTTTGAATTTTGTTTTTTTTGCAAACACAAGATTTGTTTAGACTGTTTTAAAATATAAATGAAAGCTACCTTAAAATTTAAAAACTACATATTAAATTTATGCTGGCTGTTTGCTGAACTTGTATATTTTTTAAACAAAAATTAAAATTTTTGGACAACTTAAAATGAAAAAAATTATAATTTGGGATTAATTTTGCATATCTAATTAAATTTTCTATTTTCAGTACTGTTACCTCACATTGGAAGTGCAACAGTTTCTACAAGAGTATCAATGGCTATGCTTACTGCAAGAAATATATTAGCTGGTTTAGAAGCCAAACCTCTTCCTTCACTGTTATGAAAATATTCAATGAGGAAAGAAAATTTATACTATAAATAATTGTAACATGCAGTACATTCCATTAATAATGTGCATTTTTAGGTTTATTAGAATCTTATCTTCTAATTCCTCGTCAATATTTTTCGTATTATCTGAAACAATGTAGTATTAATAATTTTTAATTTTTTATTGTAAATTATTTCACTTTTTATAAACCTGGCTTTGGTTTATCTAGTTTGTTTCATTCAGATATAAACACACAAACATCCAGCTATGTGAAATTTATAATTAATAAATACTCTTTAAAAATGTTCTTTCTTTATAAAGTAAATTGGAATATTACATTTCTTGTTGGAAGCATATCAGAAGGACATTTTTGTTGTATTAAATATGTAAGTTATAGAAGTGAATATTTTTGGTCACAAATAGAAAGGTTTTGACATTTGTTGCTAATTTATATATATATTGTTTTAACATGCTTCATAAAAACATTCTCTGTGTATAGAATTCAGTTTATTTACGACAGACAAGTTAAAAATCTGTGCATATTTAAAGTTAATAATTTGTCGTTATGTAAAAAGTAAAAAATATTCTGCATTATATAATTTATAACACCAAAATAAAGAATATAACAACAAAGAATTATCAATGGAGGTTATTTTAACAAAATTCCTTGATCTTGATAATACTATTTGAAACTAAAACTTTTTAATCTTATTTTTGACAGTGATATTAGATAATTTGATTTGTTCAATTTATAGTAAAATCAAAATTATAAACTGAAAGTCTATAAGGGAACAAAAAGGCTTGTGCCTAAATAGTTTTATTATATAATCTTTATAATAATTTAAAAATGCAACTTTCCAAAAAAAACATTTTTACAAGTTTACTGTACACAATGATTTTTCAATAGAAATAAACATTTTGAATACAACAAAATTATATATTGAATGTAAATTAGCTTATAGTTTAAACATAATAAGACTCCCTAAGATCAAAATTAAATATTCAACATTAATGTTTTTTTGTTTTTTAAATAAGAATTCTCAGAATTAAATATATCAGATATCAATGAATATCAAAATTCATTTTTTAAAATACAAAATTTTAAGATTATCTTAATTCTTTCAATTTTCCTTATTATAATAAAGATATATCAATTACAAATAATTTAGCAAACCTACTAATACAGTACATATAAATAAAATTTTTTATTAAAATATGAAATTTGCTGGTAGGATGCATAGAATTTTTGAAAGTTTTTTTTTGTCTAATTAAATGATGATATCTCATTAAGGCAACTGTATGTGTTCAATTCAATATCATTTAAGTATAAAAATAATTTAGTAAATTGTCAATTAAACTAAATTTTACTGATTAGAAAAATAATAATTGTTATTGATATAGATGTGTTTGCATCTGGTAACAATTTTAATGATTATAATTATTTTTTATAGATATTTCAAATAATGTAGATACAAATTTTACATATTTGACTCTTGCAACCCATAAGTAAATGTACACATTATGTTATTCCATATGAACAGGTTAAGATTCTTTCTAGAAGCTTATTATTTAGATAATATAAATCATAAAATTACATACTCATTATGATGATTAGGAATATGGTAGATTATTTTGTTTGAATATTCTCAAAGAACATTCTTATTTATCACAGTTTGTTCCTAATTTGGCAAAGTACATAATAATTAACACAAAGTAAGCATCTACTCAAGCATTATTTGAATACAATAGTTGTAACAAATTGCTCTCAAGCTCATTTGTAATATAATAAATTTGACAAATTTATAATTGTATTATTACACATCAGTAATAGTAATGGTTACAGGAAAAAGCTCTTGACAACGTTAATTCAGCATGGATTAAAATCTGCTTTAAATTTTAATTAATAAGCAAAACATACAAATTAACAAAATATGCCAATACTTTGACACATTTCTGAATTTGAATAATATGATTATGTAAAATTTTTATCAAATAAATTTTATTTGAATTTGAAGCTTCTAGAAAGAAAAAGCTTTTAAAAAGAAAAATTAACTTAGTCTAATAATTTAATTATTCCTTTACATCTTAAATGATTATTTAGAAAGTATTCTTTTTGAACCAAGGATACTTGAAATTTCAAAATTTCTGACTTGATTGAGAGTTCAAATTTTAGATATGTACAGTACAATATTAATGTTTTATTATCATATTTTATTTTTCAAAACAGAATAACTTCATATAGAACTATAATTACAGTAAAAGTTTTTTTGGGGATCAAAGTCAATTTACTTATTTCAAATACAGGGTGCCCCACGTAAAACTGACTCCTTTCATCAATTGAGTAAATTGTTATAATCTTCATATTGGAAAAAAAAAATAAATATAACAAAATAAAAGCTGACTTTTTTAGTATTATTGCTTGACTTTCACTGCACTCAGACAAGAGATTAATTAATCCTTAGGAAGTTCGATAATTTCAAATTAATACTATGCAAAAAGTTTTATTTACAAGCATTCAAATATACTTAATACAATACATAATACTAATTACATATTGTACAGCTTTTTACCGACATTTCATCACTAGATTAGGCTACTTTATAGGCCAGCCCTTAAGATCCATAATTCATAAGGTTTTTCATTATCCTTCAGGTCCATTAAAACACTTATTTCATGTAATACGATTTGTATTATATGAAATACTTGGTATTTATAATAAATACTAATAATCAATAAAACACTCATAAGTCCGACTGTATTTCCACACACGACCTTTATCAAAATTCGATAGTATAGAAATAATCCTTTCAAATTTTAAGATTTTTGGTTCATCCAGTCCGAGATATAATGCAAAATATATGCCGACACATACACAAACACAATTTTATTAACGGCTTTTTTCATTTTTGAGCTCCCGGAGTCTCAAAACGTCATGAAATGCAAAAAAGGATCACCCAGATGAGATTTAACTGATCACCATACTTTCTCTGTTATATTCTATAACAGCCGTGGAAGTAAAATTTAGATAGATAAACTCTGAAAATTTAGTTTTATTCTCAAAACATCACGGAAACTTGCATAATTAATTAACACTTGTAAGTTTTAGGCGTCCCGGTTTTAAGTAGGATACCATGTAGTATAGTCATACTTTTGAAAATGTTTCAAATTTGCAACTAACATGCTTTTTTTTAAACTAAAACGTCACATTTATTCATGTATGAAATTTAAAATTCCTAACATATAATCAAATTTAAAGTTTAAAGCACTTCCTTTAGTATACAGAAATGCAGTAGACTCTTGCTAATCCGGTCTCCTTCACATCCCATTAAACTCTTTCTCTCATTTGTTGACAATTATCGTATCATTGTGCATAATTTCGCAATAACGAAAGACAGCTCGAAAAAGAATCGGTACGGAAGAGCGACAGGCCTTGTCGTTTATTGCGTTTAGTCCCGCATACTCGGTAATCCGGCATTCTAGCAGAAGAATGACGGATTACCGAGAGTTTGTTGTAAATATTTTCGCATTATGCAGGAAAAATCAGATATATATTTTCCTCGGTTGAATTAGATTAAAAAATATATTAAAATAAATCATCATTCGTATTAATTAACAATATACAGAAAAAATTCGAACGATTTCTTCCATTATTATGCTAATATGCAATTACATTTATGGACATATACGTCCATTCGTCACCGATTTTAAATCCCTATCGTCTACCACACGAGCGGAAAAATAAGAGTATTAACGTAGCTACTCGATAACACACGTTATAACTCCGGATAAAAAAAAAATAAAAATAAAAAATAAAATTAAATATGTAAAATTAAAATAAAGATTTATAACGGCAATTTAAATAATTAAAAATTTTTGCGGAGATGTACGATGTTTATGCGGGATGAACGCACGTGCCAGCCAGACGTACAAGGAATGGCGGGATACACGGTCAACAGATGACAGTCGGCATTCGATCTCAAATGGGTATTATCGGTAATTATTTACGAATTTCCTCTCGGATTATTGATCATAGCGTAAGTTTAGATGTACTTTTACGTTAATATATGTTTTTTTTTACATAAAATTATTTATCAATATTATTTTATAATATCGGTTGATGAGTTTATCGTACATATTCCATATTTTTCTATTAAATTTACAGAGATGAATGTTGATTCAAAGTCTTAATAGAAATTCGATTTACAAATCGGTTTTCTTCTGTTTACATTTTTACTCGATACGAAATTAGGTCACTGTGACTCATGGCCTCGACTCACCTTTCACATAATGTACCTTTGCATAAATGTTTGTTTACTATCAACATTTTCCGCTATCCTAAATCGTATGAAACATTATAATTTGCTTCTCTCCGAGCTTATAAACGTGTATTAACGTATGTGATGCCAATCTGACTAAATTGCTATTGATGTTAATAAGCGAATATACGCTTAGATTTAATTTAATAGCATGTAAGGTTGAATGATTAAATAATAGTAATTCTAAGAAAAGAAAGCAAAATCTTTTTAGTAAATAAATGATGTCTTAAGCAAAACATGATCATGTAAGTAATATGTTTAGCATTCCTAACATGTAATCAAATTTAAAGTTTAAAACACTTTAGACTCTTGCTAATCCGGCCCCTCGATTCTCCTTCATACCACATTAACTGTAATTATTAAGAATAATATCAAATATTCCATACTTTATGATATTGTAAAAATTTATTTTGCATGATTCAAAAACACTATCATTCTAATACAACGAATGTTATCTATAATATAGCCAAACAAACGTTTAAACTCACGAGATTGGAAGTTGTAACACTGATAAATACAGATACATACAGTGATACCTCGGTTTTCGTCGATAATCCGTCCGAAAACAATCGGCAAAATCCGAAACTGACGATTACCGTGGCAATTATTTCCATATGAATCAATGGAAATCCAGTTATTTCGTTCTAGACACTCCAAAATACATACCAAAAACACATTTTATAGAGAATAAATAGTGTTTTATACTAAAAACAATAAGAAATTAATATGAAACGAATATAAAAGACCAATGTAAAGAATAAATAAATGAACATTTAACATGACATTAGAAGGGCTGCTGGCTCTGGAAACTTTCTTGGTTCCATGATGGAGGTAAAAGGAAGGAAAGCAATGGAATTGTTTGACTAGACGCGCGGGGTAATGCTCACACAACGAGAAACAACGCCGCACTGAGCAGGAAAACGCGTAGATCTCACTTTGTTTTCGCAAAATTAGCAATTAAGTGGGCACGCCGACGATAACCGAAGTCAACGAAAACCGAGGTATTACTGTATATACAAAACATTGTATTTTATATAGGTCAGATGGATGGGGGGATATGTCCTAAATCCATATCTGACAGAAAAACTGGCGATAAAATATTACTAAAACAGTAATGTTAGTCCTCGTATGATTAATTCCAAACAGCAAAGTCACAACTAATG